TCAAACTACTTATCAAAGGGTCAGAAGAACACATTAGTCGCCTTAATAAATCTTCGTTTGTTTTGGAACGCGAACACTTTCTGGAAAATGATTCTCGAAATTTCTTAAAATTTTTATTTTGAGCTTCTTGTGCCTCTTCGCTGAGCATGCCAATAGGCAAAACCATTCTCTCTACAACTTGCCAACCATGAATAAGAATGTGATGCAGACTCTGTGGCATATGATACCATGGATAAAGGATTACATACTTCTCAGCTGTTTTGTAGCAGTATTCTCTAAATAGTGAAGAATCAATTAGAAAGTTAGACGACAATGTACACAAAATCACATGCAACATCTTTATCATACTGACATCAAGTTCAAGAATTTGAGCAGACTTCTCTGCATTCTGAAAAAATTTTCTAGCAGTGTTTCCATTATTTGAAGACCCAGAGCCACCAGATGTTGGCATATCAATTATCAGTCCAACTTCATCACGAAACCTTATCTGGATTTTCTGTTTTCGTTCTTGAATAATTTTCTTTTCAGATATAGTTCTTGTAGCCCACTTTTTCACTGTCAATTTATAACTAATTTTAAGAAGACATTCCATGCTTTTAATCCAAGCATGGAGAGTTGAAAGACCGAAGCAGAGACCTATCTCTGTCAATGGCATATTTTTAGCTGCATTAAGATCATTCATTTTTTTTGGGCTGCATCCACAAACAGAACAACACTGAGAAGATGTAGTTGCTGTAGATAATGCTGTAGCAACTTTGCCGTCCACCATCGTTATTTCAATTTTATGAAGTATTGTTAAGTTTTCACAAAATGTTAAAGACAAATTTGCAATTGAATTGTTAATAAACTGATTCTCTTGTTTCAAAACTTCAATGGTTTTCTTTTTTAAATGAAAATCTTATTGGTCTGCAATATAAAGTTGAAGATGGATGTGGATTAGACCAAATTATTATTTTTTTATCATTAATGAATCTAAACAACTGAAGTGGAACAAAACAAGAAATAAACAAACTAGCTTCTTCTAAAAGATCTCTGTTTTCTTTCTCAACTGTTACTTGATTATAAATCCTTTGGCTAGTTGATCCATCAAACCCAACTTTAGAATATAAAGTCAACCTTTCAAGATCATTCATTGAATCAATAACTTGTTTCTGCAACTGTATTAGGCGTATTGCTGTATGATCGACTAATGCTTGAAAGTTTATTTCTGCTGAAAAATCATTTACAGTCCATAATGTTTTTTCAGGAAGACACTGTTCTTTAGCAGCACGAACATCATTGTAAGCAGGATAGAGATTACAACCTTTGCTCAAAGCATTATTTCTCAAGCGTTGGTAATCAGATTTGCTCATATCAATATCTAATATGAGTGCTAGAGCTTCATTTAGAGTGTTTTGAGTATGTTCTGTATCAAAAGGTTGCTTAATAGATAAACTTCGAACTACTTTTGCATCCTTTCTTCTGCTATCTTTTAAAAGATTACAACTACTAGCATACAACAGTTCATTTGATGAACAAGTTAATAAGTCCATAGCTGCTACTTTACGACTCTTTGTCTTATTTGATGAATCATCAAATAATTTTACAGGTCGACCACTAACTATAGATTCAGTTTTATTATCCTGATTTTTAAATGACTTAATAAAGTCTTTTTGAAGCCATACTGAATTATGTTTCATAAAGTTTTCATCAATTCTTTTACTTAAAGACCAACGTTTACGATACTTGGACAAAAAGGTTACAAACTGAGCATCAAATTCAGAACAGTATTCACGAATAAAATTGTAAACATAAAGTTTGTCTTTTTCATTAGACATAGATAAACCATGCTGTCTTATGAATTGATGAATTTGATATCTTGTGATGGTTGACATATTACTAATAATAATATTATTAGACTAAAATAATATAAACATTAAAAAGTTGTATTAACATATATATACATATATATATATATATATATATATATATATATATATATATATATATATATATATATATATATATATATATATATATATATATATATATATATATATATATATATATATATATATATATATATATATATATATATATATATATATATATATATATATATATATATAAATACTTGTTATTTTGCGACAAAAGAAACTTGAAAAAGAAACATCTTTGATTTTATAAAGTATAAGTATTAAAAAGTATTATAAGTATTAAAAAAAGTAGCAGATACTAGCAGCTAAATTAATAATTTTATAAAAACATATACATATAGCCTTCAAAATATGTATAAGAGATAAAGGCAAAATAGAGCACAAATTTTTCCTTGTTGTCTTTTCAAAAAAAATTAAAAAAAAAGTCCAATTTTTACCAAAAAATATATCTAAAACTGGTTTAAAATTTTTTTTTAACTTTTTTTTTTTTATAAATTTTATATAATAACAATTATTTGATATGTTAATAAAAACAGTTAACCAATATACTAAAAATTTATTACACACTTTTGCTTTTTTAAAAACTACATTTTCTCACTTTATCGCCATTTTTTTTTTGCAAAAATTTTACTTGAAATGAGTTTTTGTTGAGAATATATATTTTTTTAATTTATTGTAATTATTTTTAAGGTCCTCAATGTATCTAAGTAAAAACTTTTTAAAAAGAATTTCAGTTTTCAGACATAAATTTTTTTAGTTTTGACCACCTACTGGCCCACTGTGCGTTGTAAGGAAGTATTTTATGGTAACCGGATATTATACTTATACTAAACTGATTTCCCCCGCAGAGTCTTTAATTAAACTAAAAATTAAAATAGTAAAAATATTTAAGAAAATCATCAAGTCAAAAAATAAAAAGTGATCTTCTACTTCTATTTTTAAACAACTTTATCGTTGTGTAATATATGGACGACTAAATTTGACTCAAGATGAAAAGCTGTAAATTACATGGATTAAGAAAACACAACGAGAAAAGAATTTCAAAGCGCTGATGTACAACCGAAAAATTATTAAATAAATATTTATTGAGGATGTAATGCTTGCAAAGAAAAACAATTGCTTTTTTTGAGCAATTTTATAAAGGTAGAAAATAGAATGAGCTAGAATTAAAATTTTAGGGGATACTCTCGTATGTAAAGGCATTTGATAAGTATACAATCAAATTGATATAATATTTTCACGAGAAATCAATAATAAAAGATTATCTGAAAGATGTAAAAAAAAGTGAAATAGTGATATAGTTGCATTACATGGAAGTTCTTTTCTGACAAGATTGGCTGTGGTTTGCCACACGATAGTGAAGATCACGAGTGCAGATAAAAAAAAAATTGGGACCCTTGTTGTTACTGGTAACATGAGTTTTTTAAAGTTAGTCAGTTCAACTTAAAGTTTCAAACAAGCTACCACATATTGGTCTGGTAAGTGATAAGCTCAATAAGTGTTTCAAAAAAATCGTAAACAAAATTTTACAAAGATGAAAAATTTAAGTGGATATTTAATGTCACAATCAATGCGACCTAAATTTTAATTTTTAACGTGGACGTTTTGATTTATTATTAGAGATGCCGCAAATAGTGATTTTGCCGAATACCGAATATTCAGGTTGACCCTCTGCCAAATAGCCGAATATTCGGTAACACTTAGAAAATTTCATGGGTGACAGTTTTCAAACTGAATTAGTTAAGTTAATGCCGTAGTCACCCTACGGGTAATTATGTGTATTTGTTTTATTTGTGTGTTTTGTTATGTTATTTGTTACATCAAACTTTGTTTCTTACAGGTTGTATTTCTTACAACCCGTTACGTAAGATACATATACAAAAAGTTGTAATTCTATAGTTATAGAACATATATATATATATATATATATATATAAAATCAAGGCTGGCGCGATAGGGGGTGCGGGGGGTGCGACACCCCCATCAATGATTTTTAGTCGGCAAATTGGACCCTTTTAGACTAGTAAGTCGGCAAATGTCGACCCTTTCGATATAGGTTAGTCGGTAATCTAGAGTGTCGGCAAATGTCGTCATGGCAGTTGGCAAATTTTGGAAAACGAGGACCTCTTTTTTTTTTTTTTTTTGTCGGCAAAAGTTGTAATGGCAACCCCCCTACGTGACACCTACTCACGCCGGCCCTGTATATAACATATAGCATTTAGTAGAAATTACATTTTTTGCTAAAGCTTTAGAGTATTTAGTGGTAATTGCGTTGTTTTCAGTTTATATCAGTAGTTAATGTATTTATAATATAAATGTCACTAAAATTTGTTGATAAATGATTTGAATTTACTAAATGCAATTCATTTATTTACAAGTAGAATTTGCTAAGATTTACTTATCATCTCCAGGTAGTAGTGTATATAGTGAACGGCTATTTTTGGAAGCAGGTATAGTTTACGAGAAAAAGCGTAATCGTTTGTTATTATTATTAATTGTTTGTTATTGACAAATGCCGAAAAAATTATTTTCATTCATCATAATTTACCACTGATCAATTTTAGGTATTAAAGTAGTTTTAAATAAAATTTTTTTTTTTTTTAATTTAAAATTTTTTTATTTAAAATCTTATTTATATATAATATATTTATTATTTGTTTAATCTGTTTATTGTATTATTATAGGTATACTTAGTAATTTAATCCATTTCTAATGCAACTATTTTCATTTTTCAGTATTCGGTATTCGGCAAACTATTCGGCCGAATACCGAATAGTGTAAAATGTTGCCGAATACACCGAATACCGAATAGTTGCCGAATGTTCGTGGCATCTCTATTTATTATATTTTTATTTGTTTTTACAGTCAGAGAAAAAAATTCACTTTAAAAGTTAAATTTTTACTAAAACCCCTAAGTAATTAAAAAGTAAATAAAAGATTTTTTTTTCATTTATTCCCATATTAATTATTTGTTTAATGTATAATCTATGTAATTGTAATTCTTTAGTTGGCATATTAAATCTAATTTTTTATTATTAATTTTTTATTTTTATAAAGTTTTTTATTTTATTAAGTTTTTTTTTAGCAAACTCCACCCTCGTGTTTGTGGTTGACTTACTGGATTTAAGACGCGCTGCTCCTAACTATGCACCTATGGATTTGTTTACATCTCTTGATCGCAATAACGATAAGGTTTTATCAAGAGATGAAATAGCTCATTATGTTCGATACCAAGCTAAAACCTATAGAAATAAGAATGCTCCCCCACCTTCAGAAGAAGAGCACGAAAAAATTGTAGACGACATAATGTCTAAAGAAGATTTAAACGGGGATGGACACATTCAACATTCTGAATTCAGTGGCTCAAAGTTGCACCATAATGAACTATAAAGTTAAATGTTTTTAGCTTAAATTTTTATAATGTTTTCTTTTTACATTGTTACATATCCGATAATTTAACAAGAGTATTTTAAATTTTAATTTTATTGAAAAAAGTTGTTTTTGATTTAATGCCAAGATTAGTTGACGGACACATATGTGTCCGTCAACTAATCATGACGGACGCTACCTTATATTGACCAATCAAAAAACTTGTCAACATTAGGTATTAAATAGACAATATATTTCATATTATTTTACGAAAAAAGAATAGGTAAGTTAATATATATATATATATATATATATATATAATATATATATATATATATATATATATATATATATATATATTTAAATAAATAGCTAAAAAAATCTTTTGAATAATTTTACGCAGAATAATAACTACTTAATTTAATTCATAAAGTTTATGTAGGTTAAATATTAGGCTTGATACATTCAACTGAAAACAACAGGTTTATTTACGTCCCGTAAGTATATCAGCATATAATCAACTATAAATCCTAAACTTATTATAATTGAACGAAATTTCAATATACGGAAAAACAAATAAATGATTTTAGGATGATTCATAAATATATAAACATCTAATCTGTTAAAATAAAAAATATATATCTAAAAATGTGGCTTTACAAAAATCAAAATTCCCCGTAAGTATCGGTGGAATTGCCCAAATATGGTTTGCCTAATAAATCAAAATCATTCTATTTATGGACTTTTTTTTATTATTCACGAGCATTTTTCTAATTATTTCTGCTCTGTTTTTATTAAAGCATTTCAATCTTAGACAAGAAAATAATTACTTGTCTATAACTACTTCTAATAAGTTTTTAGTAACCGTGGCATAGTTGTTAGAGCAATGGTATCAGAATCAAGAGATTCGAGGTTCGATGCTCTGGCGATATAAGCGACATTGGAAAGAAGCTGCCATAAACTTCCTATTAAATGCTTTTCCGCAGAGCACAGTGGGCCAGTAATTGGTCAACAACGGCTTCGCACTTATGCCAGTTTTTGCAACGCTTCGCACTTATGCCAGTTCGCGCTTATTCAGCCTCCCAATTTAGAGATAAGAAAAGCATTTTGTTGCATCAGTTTGTATTAGCAGGTCATCCCAGTAATTTTTTGAAGATCAAAGGTTTTTATTAAAAAATGTTTCAGAAAAAATATTTTTGTGCTGCACTATAACTAATAACTAATTTATCATGTGCTGTCTAATATTTATTTGAGCTATATTGAGTTTCTATTGATTGCTTGTCCCCTTAAGTCCCCATTCTGAATATATGAACATATATTTTAAAGGTGATTTGAATCGCGAATCCAGGCCTGCTTTTATTCGAGATTCGATATATATATATAAAAGTCAACAATATATTGTTGACTTTTATCCTTCTATTACCCAGAAACTTCTTATCGACTCTATTTGCTTTGCTGAACAGTATGTTACCATTGCAAACGAGCACAAATCTTTGATTCAACACGCACGGAAATCCTTGTTATTTAACAATAACGAAGTTTGGATAAAAAAATCAGGTGATTTATTTGACGTCGCCATGGGAGCGTTTGACGGTGCCGAGGTACGTGAGTTGGTTGGAATTTTCCTTCTTTTCCAAATTTCTCAATTTTATAACAAGTTTGACTTTGGGCTGTATAGAGATGATGGGTTGGCCGTAATTAAAAACGCCAGCGGTCCACAAATGGAAAAAGTTAAAAAACATATAACTCAGATATTTAAAAGTAACAGCCTTAATATTTCTATTCAATGCAACATAAAAATTGTGAATTATCTTGATATTACATTAAATCTTAATCACTGCAGCTTCAAACCTTACCATAAACCTGAAAGTTTGTTAAACTATATCCATGCCAGCTCTAACCACCCACCAAGTGTTTTAAAACAGCTGCCGACCTCTATTGAACAAAGATTATCATCAAACTCCTCCAGCAAAATAATTTTCGAAAACTCTTTTTCTATTTACAAAGAAGCCCTTATAAAGTCTGGACATAGCAGCAATATCCAATATCGTCCTAATTTATATTTACAAAAAACTAATCATCATACTAATAAACGCAAACGAAGCATCATATGGTTTAATCCCCCTTTTAGTAAGAATGTTGTCACCAAATTAGGAAACCTTTTCTTGAACTTAATCGACTTACATTTCCCAGCACACCACAGGCTACACAAGATTTTTAACAGAAACACCGTCAAAATAAGCTACAGCTGCATGCCAAATATTAGTACTATTATTAAGTCTCACAACCAACACATTTTGCGTAACCAAAATACCGAAAAAGTTATAAAATGCAACTGTATAGACAGAGCTGCGTGTCCTTTAGAAAATCAATGTCTAACTAAAAATATTGTTTACAAAGCTACCGTAACACCAGCGAACGTCAACCACGCTAAAAAATCTTATATTGGTATTAGCGAAAACTCCTTCAAGATCAGGTTTGCAAACCACATAAAATCATTCAACTTGGTCAGGTATAAAAATGACACTGAACTTTCTAAAGAGATCTGGAAACTTAAGGAAGCAGGCATTAAACCAATAATCAAGTGGAGTATTGTTAAAAAATGTCAACCCTATAACCCATCCTCAAAAAGATGTAATCTTTGCATAAATGAGAAATATTTTATTTCAACATACAATAAAGAACCTTTGTTAAATAAAAAAAGTGAATTGGTTTCAGCATGTAGGCACAGAAAAAAGTTTTTGCTATCGAATTTCGACACCGGTTAAATAAATTCCCGTTTGGCGTGAAAACTGACGTTTGATCTCGTTGCAACGCAATTTTGTATTTTTATAACGGTTTTTATTTTAATGATTTTTAAATATATGGCTGAACGATTGCCGAATGGCATGAAACTTGAAGTCCCATAAAAAAGTCGTATTTTTTTCATTTAATATATATATATATATATATATATATATATATATATATATATATATATATATATATATATATATATATATATATATATATATATATATATATATATACACACTAGGGTGGGTCATAAATTTTTTTTTTAGAGTTGCTAACCTGGCTATGGTCTAAAAAATTGTTTTTTTATACTAATTAAGAAAAGTATTTACTTTTATGGATTGAACAATGTCTTCCACCCGCAACTATAATTACAAAAATTAGAAGGCCCTATTATTATTCAAAAAAAAAAGTTTTTCAAAATTATGTGATGTAGGTACTCAAATAAAGCGAAATTTTATAATTTTAAAAATAATAATTTTTTCATATAAAAATTATTATTTTAGGTTTTATCGCATAATAACTATAGTTTTTTAACTAAAAAGGAAAAAGGTGCATTTTTACATGTTTTTTAATAACAATTTTTTCGGCAATATGATTTTTATAAAACGATTATTATTTTTGAATTTTTTATAAAATTTCGCTTCTTTTGAGTACCAGGTTGACCTACTTTTGAAAAACTTTTTTTCTCCAAAATATTAGGGTACCGGTAGTTTTTCCAATAAAGTTGCGCCCTTTAAATCTATCACAATCATTCTCATATTTGATAGTATCAATATTAATAACTATTAGCAATGTTTAGAGCCTGTATCAAGAAAAAAAATTTTTATGACCCACCCTAATATATACATATATATATATATATATATATATATATATATATATATATATATATATATATATATATATATATATATATATATATATATATATATATATATATATTTATACATATATATATATATATATACATATATATATATATATATATATATATATATATATATATATTGGTGGTTATGGTTATTCCATTGAGTGGGCATAAGGTGGTTATAAGGTGGTTACCACCTTATGCCCACTCAATGGAAAATGCCTTACAAAAAATCTTATTTATATTTGCAACGCAAAAACTCACCAAGAAGAAGAAGGATATTATTACGTTGGGCTTACTGAGAAAACTTTCAAAGACAGGTGGTACAAACATAAAAACTCCTTTGTTTATGAAAGTAAGGCCAACTCCACTGAACTTTCGAAATTTGTGTGGGAATGCAAAAATAAAGGTATAGAACCTATTTTAAAATGGAATATCCTCGATCAAGCGGAGCCATTCAAACCTGGTGGTAAATTTTGCAATTTATGCTTGACAGAAAAATACCACATTATTACGTCGCCATTGAATTTGCTTAACAAAAGAACCGAGCTTGCGTCAAAATGCCGCCATGAAAATAAATTTCTAATAAAAAACTTTAATGTCATCAAAGCGGACACTCCATAGCATTTTTTGTATATAATTTTTGTCGTTACTTTTTATTGTTGTTACATCTGATGATCGCTATTGCGTGAAACTTTTAGTTATGTAATTGAAATATATCTTAATAATTATTTAGTTTTCACTATATATATATATATATATATATATATATATATATATATATATATATATATATATATATATATATATATATATATATATATATATATATATATAATGTATATATAATGTATCAATTTTTAATATAACTATAATGATAATAATAATGTATAATGCAGGTTGTTGACCAATGGTTTATAATCAAAATTTAATATGGGTGGCGGTAAGAATAATGAGAAGTTTGAAGGAACAAACATTTGTAAGGTTGTTATTGATGCAAATTACTAAGGCAATACCTTTTTTTATAGAGAGCGTCATGTCAATTAAAGGGACTGCTACAGTTGCCGAAATAGGAAAAGAAATAATGACTTTATTAAAATATGCACTCGACAGATCGAATGGTGGTGGTTGGTACAAAACAACATTCATACGTTTTCCTAATTGTTCTGGAACTATTGTTAAATAAAACTTTTTTCTTTCAAACATTTTATTTTATTTGCATTGTATATAAAGTCCCTTGAAGCAATTTAGTTGTATCTGATTAATTTACGTGAAATATAATATTTTCTGCGCAAATTATTGCTTTTTTATTGTGTTATTTTATTGCAATTAAAGTTGTGTAAATTTTTTAGTTAATTGGATTTTAACCAAAATAAAAAACAAAAATCAAC